CTGTCAGATCTTGATATAGCACTTTCATTACAGAAGATGATGCTTTAATTAACAAAGAATACTTATTGATTACACTCTTTTTCATTTGTCTAGTAGAATAGATAGGTATTTCTTCATATATTTTTGAAATATTCCTTGCTTCTTTATTTTTATCACGTTCATTAATTTGGGGAATTTTCCAAACAAAGTTTAATGTACCTAGATAATTACCATGATAATATCTATACAAAGTGAAAGATGTATCAGTACATATATTTTGAAAATAGAGGTAATTTTCTTGTGGTTTTGATGTGAGCAAATCATCAATATTTAAAATCTCATAATAATTAGATTCTTTTAGAAGAGTCACCAAAGGTTTATATTGAGGTGGATACACATCATGTGCTTCATAATCTTTTACAAAAATATCATCTCTTGCATTTCTGGCAGGAACCAGACTAGTATGAATAGATTTCATCCTATCATTGATTCCTTTAAGATAAATAGAATAATCTTGAGTAATTTGTACTAGATGATGAATCTCTTGTATAATCTCTTGCCAATAAGAAAAACTTGTCCATGGTTGTTGAAGAGATATATTTAAAGATTGGATTAGTGCATCTAATTTTTCATGTGAGATTTTGACCTTTTTATGTTTCGTATTATGATAATAAAGATTATAATTACTATTAGAAATATATTCAGGGAGATTAGCTATAAGGTTTGGAAGCCTCAAACCTCTTTTTTCTAGTTTGTGATGATGAGGATCCAAATACCATACCAAATTTGTGATTTTGTTAATGAAGCTATTGCCAATTGTCAAATGATTGTTGTTTAACCAGCCTAGCTCTTTTTCTCTGAGAATCTTCAAAAGATCATTAAAAAGTAGATCAGTATGAAACTTTATGATTTTAGGTTGTGGTAATTTCTTTATAATTGTTTGTCTCATCATCAAATCAAATGCTGACTTATCAGAAGTGAAAATATCATTATCATTAATAATTATTGCATTATCATCATAAAATGTGATAGTAAAACGAACATGTTTCACTTTTAATTGAATGCATGCTTCTAAATTTTCATCAAGTCCATAAATTACATCATGCCAAACTGACAAATCATTATTTTGAAATTCTACTTTTACTTGTAATTCTTCA